TATGGCTTATAAATTGGAGTTTCCTCTAGGTACTAAGCTTCATCTTGTGTTCCATGTCTCTTGTCTAAAAAGTTTTCATGAGGGGGACAATCTAGTGGCTGCTACACTCCTTATGGGTCTTCCAGTAGCACCCATGCCAGTACCTTTGGCTTTTCTTGACCGTCAAGTCAATCGAAACATTCCAAAGGTCTTGATTCATTAGCAAGAAACTTCTCCAGCAGAGGCATCTTGGGAGACTGTTTCATCTATGAAGAAGCACTTCCCACACTTCATGCTTGAGGACAAGCGCGTTTTGAAGGAAGGGAGTAATGTTAGCACATTAGATAATCCCTTAGTTTACAAGCAATTTACACATGGAAAGTATAGGCTAAATCAATATATTTGATTGATTGTTGGCATTTTATTAACAGTTTCATTGTGGTTCCTATTTATTCTTAGTGGTAGTTTTCCATTTCTTGTTGTTGAAGGTTGTGTCTCCACCCTATTTTATTGTTAGTGGTAGTTTTCTATTTCATGATTTTGGAGGTTGTGTCTACACCTTTCCACTTTCTTGCTTTAAGGGTGGTTGTTCCGACAAGCTGTAGTTAAAAAGGCGGTAAAGTTAATAAAAGAGAGTTGTTCAGAATCTATTCAAGTTTTAAGTACTTAAAACTCAAGAGATCTGCAAGTTCTCTCTAACGGGCAAGCACTATAAACATAGGTCGAAAAAAGAAACCTTCCACCCAAGCACCTAGCGTACCTCAAACTAATCCAAACCCTTCCACACACCGTCTCATAACTCGATCCATTTCAAGGGACCATATTAGTATCACAAAAAGTTACGGTTAATGTTGGTTAGATTGGACCTAATAAAAATGCAAAGTGATTCAATTTGAAATGAAGGGGACATATTTTATTTATATTGTATAGAATATGTATTCAGAAGCTAGATTAATCTGGAGAGCCACTTGAGCTGAGTAATAAAATGTTCGAACTTGGCCTGCCTTGTTGCTCGAGTAGCTCAATGGTGAGCAAGTCAAGCTCATGTATACATTAAGCTGAGCTACTTAGGCTCACAAGTACCTCGACCTGTCTATTTTGCTACCACCTGAGCTTGACTTTGGTCTGATCTATCTAAGAAACCATGATTAAATTCTCAATGCAGTGTCCGAACCATATACTCGTACTAGTTGTGTCATGTCAAAACTAGTATATCACCTTAAGCTGTCGAGTCGATGTTAGAGATCGAGAGGCTGTCCAAGTGGAAAAGCACTGTGTTATTTTTCTTTTTTTTCACTTTACATTACTGAAAAAGTAACTGACAATGATTTTTATGCTTATCAATGAGACAATGCCCAATACACATTGTTAAGTCACTGATATTTAAGCAAGATTTTATAGGATACCTGGTAAAAGGAAATGTATTTTAATTCTATAATAGAAGACATGTGCAGACTAATCTAGTCTCTTATAGCTAGAACTAGCTACATGCTTGTGTTTTGTGTGAGTTTAATACTTTAACTAATTTTTTGAAATTAAAAAGATCATAAATTAAGTAAAATTATTTATTCACTCATCATAGAATGACAAACATTTATGAGAAAATATGCGATTATCTGTCAAAAGAATAGTTAAAGAAAATAAGAGAGCATAAGAGAAGGCTAAATGAAAGATTATTTTTATTTACAATTTCTAGATATAATTGAGAGGAGTTGATAAATGACTACAACACTGAGGGTGAAACATGAAATGTTAATCGGAAGACAAAACAGACACCTCCTAAGAGTTTGTTTAAGTGTGTGTGTGTACATATATATATATATATATATGTATGTATGTACTAATTTAATAACAAAATCATCTTTTTAACTATAATATTATACATTCAATTGAACTAGTTGAATGGGAAACTGAGCCTCCGCCACTTAAGTGTGAAATGGTAATTGCATATGTTTTTATAATTTGGTTGTCACTATAGTTTTCTTATCTAATTGTCTTGAGAGAGTTTATTTTGCCCTTGGAACCTAAGACTTGGTATGATGGTAATGATAGTAACAAAGAGCGTGCACTTGTGGAGGAATTGGCTTCACTCAAAGCATCTAGCAAAAGCTGTCCTTCATCTGATGGTATTGGTTCTTTTTCCATTTATGACTTCCTAATTGAAAGAGATTATTGGTGGATGTGTTTTAAAAACTTATAGGTTTCATTTATTCTTTATGTGATTATATCTTCCAGGGATGCATGAAGTTAGTGAATCAAAAGAGCGTGCTTCAAGCAAAAGGGTTGACAGTGTTGCATCTTTGTGGAACTCGATTAAGGCCTTCTTGGGGTATATTTTACTGGCAGTTCTGTAATATATAATTGCTTCTGAATTCTTAGATCTTCCAAAATAGAGCCTAAGAAATCCATGCCTGAGTCTGTTTACGTTTTTTGGCATTCATTCTATTATATTTTAGATTAATTTGATCATTAGGGTTTTCAGAATTTAAATTGAAGCATAAAATGTCAGGGCATCTTGGAACTGAAAAGGCTACTTATGTTCTTTAAATTAGATTAGGTGCATTAAGTTATTAAGCACTGGTATGGTCTGAATATTCATCATTGAATATCTAGTGCGAGATATCAGATGTGCAACTTCTGTGTTTGCAGTGGACCAAATTCAGATGCATGCTTTTGAATTCTTTAAATTAGTATGTCGGGGTATCTTGGAGCTGAAAAGGCTACTTATCTTCTTTAAATTAGATACGGTGCATGAAGTTTTTAAGCACTGGTATGGTCTGAATATTCATTATTCAATATCTAATGTGAGATATCAGATGTGAAACTTCTGTGTTTGCAGCGAATTCAGATGTCTGCTTTTGAATTCTTCGAGACAGTATTTGCTTAAATGCAAGAAATATAAATTGTTTTGAATTCAATGCCCATTATCTATGATTCTATGTTCTCATTATGTCAAATTTCTTAGCTTTTTCCCCTTCTAAAACAGGTCTATTCTTGTTGCTCATCCACCTCTTTGATTTGCCTAAAAACTTGCAGGCGAAGACACTCCCGAGAAAGGTTTGCATCAATTACTGCAGTCTCATCAGGATCACCGTGGTCTCGCGACAAGCCAGATTCTGTATTAACAGTTTCATATTTTGCCATTTTCTTATATACCTGTATCTTTACCTGTACTCGTATGATCAAAAATGACTTGCAGTTGAGACGAAGGAACACTCATCATAGAAAACTGAAAGAGCACTAAGACGAAATCTCTAGACATGAGTTGTTAGAGGAATCCAACAGGTTCAAAACTTGTATTAGACATGCTACCATTGATCTCGTATAAATCACAGGTTCATATAAATGCCAAATCTGCGTTTTCAGATTAGGGTTTGGCTTTCCTTCATCTTATGTCCAGATTCGGGTTCATTCCGGAAGCTAAGCCATTCTAGTTTGAAATCTATAAGTAATTTGATTCAAGATAAATAAGTAAATTTTAACAAATAAGTCCACAGGTATTCGGAGGTCAAATCCAGAGGCAATGAAGATCAATGGAAGACAATTTCCTAGGGCTGATGGTTTCTTCTGTTGACCTCCAAACTATTGTACATCCAGGTCCCATTTTATTCTTTCCAACCACTCGAAAATATTTAAAGTATTTTTTAAGTTTCAAAGGAGGCCTCGGATTTGATTCCAATTTATTTATTTTAATCTGATTCAAAATAGTTAGGTAAATTGTAACAAATAAGTCCATAGTAAGAAGTCAAATCAAGAAGCAATACGAAAGATGAAACAATCCGTAATAGGGCATAATGCAATTTCGTAGAATGGAGGTTGTTTCTGTTGACCTCCAAATTATTTTTACGTCCACATTCGTTTTTACTTCTTTCGATTACTTGAAAATACCGAAAATATTTTTTCACTTTCTAAATTGACTTTCTGATTTAATTTCAATTTATTTAGGTATAATATTTAAAAAAAAAACTCTTAAAATAAAAATATAAAGACAAATTTTATATTTTTGTTATATTTACTTAAGTCTTTATATTTTTATTTTAAGTTAAATATACGTTTAAATTTTTATTTTGAGTCAAACAATTCCTTGTGACTAATAATTAGTTTAGTTAAAATGTCATTTATCTTTTTATGTCGCATAAAGTTGATGTAGTTGTTAGCATATCATAATTAATGATAATATTGTATATTAACATATCATAATTGATAATGATGTGATATATTAATTTGACATGATTTTTTTATTTTTCACATCAATGCCATTAGAGTCTTATGTAGATATAAAATGATAAGAAACATTTCAATTAATAACAATTAATCAATCACTGATTATAAAAATTTAATAAAAATATAAAAATTTAATTAAATCTAATAAAATAATAAAAACTTACTTAAATATTTTTTTAACCGTTTAAGAATTTATTTAAATATTATATCATTTATTTTTCTCCAAAATACTTTAAAAGTCTAAGTTTTTGTAAAAGCAAAAGAGGCCAAAAGCCCATGCCAGGCCCGAAATATTCATTTCATTCTTAAAAAATGAAATTTTACAAGGGGCTGTGGCCGGTTTCGGTTAAGTCTTTAGCTTCATTTCGCAAATTTGACGGGAGCAGGTTCGAAAGCTGAATACTTGACATCCTGAGTGGCTGTGTTCGCTTGAGAGAAAGAGAGACGCCGCCGCCGCCATGCCTACTGTCAGCGTAGGGAGGGATCGTCTTTTCGCGGCCCTGGGCAGATCTTACAGTGAGTTTCTAATTAAAAAGCCTCTTTTTTCTTTTTATTTACTTAAGAAATATCTTTTGGATTTTTGAAGTAACTAACCGAAATAATACATTTCTCAGCTCAAGAAGAGTTTGAAGATCTATGTTTCAATTTTGGAATTGAACTTGACGATGTGGTGAGTTGTTTCTTGCGCTTTGGTCTTTGGGGAAAGCATAGATAGGCCTGAATTTTGATGGAATATTATTGTTGTGAATCAGACAACGGAGAAAGCAATAATTTTGAAAGAGAAGAACTTGAAGGACGAAAATCTTAGTCTTGATGATGAAGTCATTTACAAGATTGAAGTTCCCGCTAACAGGTTTTCACTGCTTATCTTTACAAAATTTGATGTTGCTTCACATTTTTGTTTTGATAGAATTCACTAATATCACCAATTTAGTATTGTTAGGGAAAATTTATTTTATCCCCTTTTGGCATAAAAATCTGGGTTACTCCTTAATAGTAATTTGGTTGCCTTCTTGAATTTTGCTCATATGTTTACTTAATCTCACTAAAAAATTATAGGTCTAGTAACTGTTGCGATTTGTTTGCAAGCCAGCTTTAAGTTGGAGTTCATCTAGTTGCGCTGACTTGAAAATTGGGGAGAATTACTTGGAGGAAGAGAGCATATTTCAATTTTAATTTTGCTTGAAACTTGATAATTCAGGTAAATGAGACAAGGAAATAGTGATGAAGGTTTTGTTTGATTCCTGGCAGGTACGATTTGCTTTGCTTGGAAGGGCTTGCACAAGCCCTTCGCATTTTCAATGGACAGGAAGGGATAACTAGATACACAGTTGCAAACATTAGTAAGGAATCAATGCTCAAAATTCATGTCAAAAGAGAGGTAACTGATTGAAAAATCAGCTTTGGGTATTGCCATTATTTTGGAGTTTATTGATAACTTCATAATTCTCCCTTGGCTTGCAGACATCTCTAATCCGGCCATTTGTTGTTTGTGCGGTTTTGAGGGGCATAACTTTTGATGAGGCAATCTATAACAGTTTTATTGATCTCCAAGATAAACTGCACCAAAATATCTGCAGGTAACAAACATTGTCTAACTAGTAGCTCTGCTTTCTACTTTCTGTATAGCCTTCATTTCTTTGGTTTTCCTACTTGTGATTGGTTTTGCACCTGGAAAATAAACTAGTATGAACTGTAAAAAGAAATATCAATGATTTCTTTTGATCTCTGATAGCAACGTGATGACCAGGGGGAGGAGAAACAAGATGAATATTTGTGCACATATTATAGTATAATGCACAAAGTATCTAGTTTTTTCATCATTATATAGAACTTTAAGTAAACCTCTATGTAGAACAATTTTAGCAGTATTTCTCGCAAGAATCAATGAGAACTTATGTGCCAGTTATTTTAGGTCCAGCGATGGCTGCACTCAGCTGTTGAAATGGGTGTCTTGGGACTTGTGCATCCTTTTATAATAGTTTTGGTACAAAAATTGATCTCCCCATCCAAATTGAGGGTAGGATTCTTGCTCCTGATGTTTACAGGAAGTTAAAGTGAATTTGATTCCCACTTTGCTCTTGAAATGTGTTGGGCATAGCTTCAATAAAATCTGTGTTTTATCACGGTAATTCAAATTGGTAAGTTATGTAAACAAATTATATTGCCAAAAAGGAAGTGCCAACAATAAGGAATGACTGCTAAATCTTTAGTTTGCCATCTTAACTAGTTTACGATGACCTTAATTTTTTATTTTCAGATATTTTCTTTCATTTCCACTTCTTGAGTGCTAATTCTTGAAAACTTTCTAAAGCATTAAATTATTGTTGTACAGAGATTTCGTGAATTTTTTTAAATTTTTTTTAAGTTGTAATGCTTACATTCAATTTGTGGGTTTTAGGAAAAGAAGCCTAGTCGCTATTGGAACTCATGACTTGGATAGATTACAAGGGCCTTTTACATATGAGGTGAGCTTCCTAATAATTATTTTATTGATAGTTTTTTCTATTAATTTTTTATGCATTATTGAAATGGTGGTTATTGTAATAAGTACATAAAGATGCTTTAGATCCTTTGTTGAAGGTCAATCGTTGGGGGTAAAAGGAAGGTTGCAGCCTAAGGCTGATACCTTGGGCTCTGTTGTTGTTTCGGTCAAATAGCAGCCTAGGCAATGCACGAGAGCTTCTTTTCATTTGGCTTATTTTCTTGGGCTGGTAGTGGTTTATTTCTTAGTTATTTGATTATTTTGTGTCAACCAAGTCGTGGATTGTCGAGTTGGTGTTGAATGTTAGTAATGATTATTCTTTGTCAATTGACAGTGTAATTGTCACAATTTGTATAGTTTGCTGAATTCTCTTTAGTTCTTTTTTACCCTTCTTTTCCCCACCCCTTTAAAGTATCTATAGATAAGATCGTTGTTGAGCCCATATAAAAACTTGTTTTTCTCTTTTAAGATCCCATAATTATCCTTGTCAACTTCTCACAATCATATTCATAACTTGTAAGCAATAACCTAAATTTGTTGGTTTCTTTCAGGCATTGCCACCTCCAAAGATAAATTTTGTGCCACTGAAACAGGTAAATTTGTCACTTTTTGGAATTATACTATTTACAATATACATATTAACTAAAAACATATTGCTATCTTGCTAGTTTGAGATCCATTTGATCTAGTCATGAGGAACTTAGCTTGTATTAGAGAGAGCTAATGATTAGTTTTTTGCATTAATCTACTATATTTTGTCAACCTTCAGCTGTCTTCAATTGGCAATTTAGGACTAAATGCTCAAGTTGATCTTGCTTATGCCTACATACTTGAGAGAAAGTTAGATTTCTACATTGAAATTTTTTGTTTATGTAGAAAGTTTATTTTCCATCTTTTGTTTGAGATAATAGAGTTCACTATTAGAACTTGCTTTGTTTGCAACCAAGAGCTAGTTCTCGTAAGTAAATATTACACAAATAGGAGCCGAATTCTTTCTTTCCCTTCTCTTGTTTGCTTGTTTGTTTCTTTTTTGTTATTGGTGCATATAGATGTGGCAATTGCGGGTCAGATCATGCCAGGTTTAGATTCGAGGCACATCGAGTCAATGAAAATTCAGATCATTTTGAGTTTGGATCATCTTAAGTTCAGTTATTTCAAGTTTAGATCGGGTTCAATTCTTGACTTTTAAAGTCAAGTTCGGGAGGTTCATTTAGGTCGAGTCAAATTGTATGGATCTTAATTAATTAAGTTATTCAAAGTCATATTTCGTCAACTTCTTGTTGTGGCATACCTTTAATTTTGATATGATAATTTGTTTTAAACAAACCTTAGATCATGTAACGAGACAAAGAGAAGTAATTCAAAATTAATTTTCTAAAGTTGTGCTTGATAAGCTGTTGAAAATGAAAATTTCGGATGATTTATTTCTTTGAATGTGATTCATAACTCAATTTAGAAACTACTAAAATCAAAGATTTTGAGCGTAAAACGTGTTTTAAATTTGAAGTAGATAAAATTTTAAAACTACTTAATGTATTCAGTCATTATTTAAGGAAATTTGGTTATTTCATTACATTAACCTTATATTATTTTCTTTTTAAGTATAAATTGTTCCTTTTTAACTTTTACTAATGTAAAATACATTGAAAATAAATCAATAAAACATCTATTTAGTATTTAAATTTAAGTAGAATACCAAACGATTTTTACAGTAAAAATTCAACTTAGAATTCAGTACTTAATATTTTAGTAGGAATTTTTCCAGTTTATCAAACAACATCTATTTGGAATTATTTTATATAAGATAATAACAAATCCACCCCCCCCCCCCCCCCCCCCCCCCCAAAAAAAAAAAAGGGTCATTAATGATTTCTGGTTGATTGCTATTTAATATTCATCTTTATTGTACTGATTATTCTAGTTTATGGATCACTTTTTGCTTTTAAAATTATTTTTGATCTATTCTAATTATTATTTTATTGTTTTATTATTTTTTAAGAATGAAAATAAGAAGGAAAAATGGAAATGCAATTGTTCTATTATGTATAATGGTAAAATTGATTTTAATTTATAATAATAGAAAGAATGTGTTATTTTTTTCTCTTTTTAATCAAAAGATGGATCTTGCAATATAGAAAAGTTATATAGTAGTCAAAAATAGAACAGTGAAAAAAAGAAATTTTATATTTTTATCATCTCTTAAAATTATTCATAGGTAAATAGTTTGTGTTATATTTATTATTTTTTATCAAATCAATATTTAAAAGAGAAAAATAAAATTATATTAAATTTAAGCTCAGTTGTTTCGGGTTATGAACATGGGTTTGGGTTGATTTGGTTTTGCATCAATTCAGGTACGGATTGGGCCGGTTAGGTTGTTGTTTTGTCAAATTGGGTTGGCTAAGATTGGGTAAGTTGGGCAGGTCTTGAGTTCAGATCAACTTTAGGTTCATATAAGTTAATTATGACCTCTAAACTCATTTAATTTTATTTTAAACAATGGAATTAATGGAATGTAGACGAAAATGTAATGCCATATTTTCTATCTTTAATACTAATAGTGTCTTCTGATCACTTGTTTTCAATTGTGTTACTCTTTTAGAACAGTCCTAATAAAGTATTACAGGTTGAATCTTAATTTTTGTCTCTTAATTATTTTTTCATTTTTTCTTTAGTTTATTCTTCTATGTAATATAGAGTAATCCAAACATAGCTATGCTATGTAACCTTAAAGCTACTTTGATGCTCATCTTGTGCTATTTGTGTTGTTATTGCATTAGTTAGTATGTCAATACTTTTGCTGAAGGTTTTGTTTAATGCAGTGGTAGCTTAATTTACAGACTTAACTACGTTAGATCCTTCTTTATTTTGTTTAATCTCTTAAGTAGAATGATCATTGTTGAGTTATGCTTACAAATTGGGATCCAGGAGGAAAGGGCCTTGCTTTTTAACGTTTTAATTTTTACATCAAGTAACCACCTCAAGACTTGAACCTGTACTCTTGTCCTTGTACATGTTACTTTAGGTTAAGACCTTGATTGCTGCAACAGCTAATGATCCCTTCTAAGTTTTCATGTATATGTATATTTTAAATTTAGGAAATATTTTTGGAAATTAGTGCCTTGGGTTCTTGGGTGTTAATGCTTAGATGTTATAGGAACAAGGAGTTAGGCTTTACTTCTTACCATTTCTTTGTTTATAATCAACTCCTCTATTCCTCTTCTTGTTAGCCATCTGCACACTTTTACTCATTGGAAAAACTTTTCTTAGTTGTCTGGGCTGAAACTGATGTCCTGGAATTGATTATTTAATTTAGGTGAAGAACTTCAGAGCTGATGAGCTGATGGAATTTTACAAGGTAAATCTTTCATGTGGAGCTTATTTGTTGTGTGTACCTGTGAAGTTGCTTTATTTAGCAATCATTATGTTGGCGTTTCTGTCTGTACCCCTTGCACTTCTATCTCCTAGTTTTAGATAGGATTGGACTACTTTTGTTGCACTGAAGATTTATACTAATATATGTTCTGCTATGAAATATCTAACAGTCAGATTTAAAATTGAAGAAGTTCTTGCACATTATTGAGAAGTCGAAAGTGTTCCCTGTTATATATGACCGCAACAGGTAAAGTTTGTTGGTAATACCTATCTGATTATTAAGGGTTTGTTTTTAATGTTTCTGACAGCAATCAGTTTAACATTAAATTAAAGCTATTTGACTTTCTACCCCTACTTTTGATGCCTTCAATGTTCGTTTATACTGTAAATCTTGTTAGGTTTAAAGATATTGAATATTGCTCTCAGCTGGATGAATTTTCTGTTTTTCTTTCTTTACACAGAACTGTTTTGTCCTTACCACCAATTATTAATAGCGCACACTCAGCAATCACTTTGAAGACAAAAAATGTCTTGATTGAATGCACGGCCACTGATTTAACGAAGGCCAAAATTGTTTTAAATACAATGGTAAGGAGTTGAGTGCTGATTGTAGTAGGCTGGTATGTTTCTGTCCTCACCTGTATGTAGGTAATGGTGAGAATAATTTCTCTTTCTTTTTTAGGTAACGGCATTTTCAGCATATTGTGAGAGGAAATTTGAGGTGGAACCAGTTGAAGTGATATCCTTTGATGGAAACTCAAGTGTTTATCCTGATTTATCAGAGTATAATATGGAAGTCCCACTATCTTATATTACTGGTTCAATTGGAGTCCCCCTGGAGGTGGATGAGGTATTTCTTCCATTTTCATTTTCTCACTTTCTTCTTTGTTATTTGTTATGGCATCATATAGTGAAAATAATTGAATTCCACTTGTGATGGTGTGATTGTTTTTGTTTTGACCTTCTTACATGTTGTAAACTGGTCAAATTTTGTCTGAATTTGTTCTGCAAACTGCTCATTTAATATTGCTATTCCTCTAGTGATGTAGGACAGCTAGGTGATTAGGATTTATGGAAATTTCCTGAATTCCTGAGAAATACAGGGAAAATTGAATGGAGTAAATAAACGGAAAAAGTACTTGTAGAATGATAGTTGCTTGTATAATGTTATAAGGTTTTGAGGATAGTGAGAGAACAATGTATCTTCAAGGGTGCTTTTGGATTGCTGTCATGGATTAGAGTGTGGCATGGTAACTATGGTCTCAGATCTTTAGATTATGTCTGTACTCATGATTATGGTCTCAATTATTTTTTTTAAGTATCTAGATTGAGTTTAAATTTTAATTAAATTAGTAAACTGACTCTCCTATTTTTCTCTCTTTACTCTCTTTTGAATGTTGTATGTTAAGAAACTGAGTTTTCTCGTATTTTAATTCTCCACTCTGTTATAACTTCTAGTGGATTGCACTCAAAAGTAAAAACTATATAAATATTTATTCATTTTTACCACACACATACCGCACACCATATAAGCTAGTATTTTTGTAATCCATCTGTGTGTATGTGAGCATGCGTTAAGTGGGGGTGGGGGTTTTTGGCAAGAGGAGCATTGAGATGAGGTTACATCAGTCTGATATGGTCATGGTCATTGTCTTCAATGATCATGTATGTCTGCTTTGTTTTGATGGCACCATTGGTGACATTGGCTTTCTATTGCTGTCATTAAGTTAATGATAGTAACCCCATAACTGTACCTGTATTTGTTTCAGCTTTTGTTGTTACTGCAGTATAGCTACTGCTCTTATGTTTTTCCGTTGTCTTAACTAAACAGGTCACTAGTCTATTAAAGCGAATGCAATTGCGTGCTGAACAAGCTGGATTGGGTGACAACAATATCAGTGTGTCTGTACCTCCAACCAGAAGTGATATTCTTCACCCATGTGATGTTATGGAGGTAATGGTAGTGATGGAATAGTATTTAGCTGACATATCTTGTAGTGAAAGGTTGTTGGGCTCATACCTTGTGCATAATGTTGACATGGCACTTTATTCTTTTTCAGGATGTTGCAATTGCTTATGGCTACAATAATATTCCAAGGAGAAAGCTTTCGTCTTTGAAGCCACTTCCCTTAAACCAGCTCAGTGATCTTGTCAGATATGAGGTGCCTATATACACACTTGCATATGCATAATAATTGAGCTTTGTGCTGCTTCTTGCAACTAGTAGTTCTTTTTATCTGGTCTGTAGATTTTCTTCGCCATTGTCAAATTTGTCTGATAGCGCTGATTGAATTTCCTTTTAGATTGCAATGAACGGTTTTTCGGAGGTGTTGACATGGATTTTATGTTCTAAGAAAGAGAATTTTGAAATGTTAAACCGAAAGGATGACAAATCAACTGCAGCGATTATTGGAAACCCTCGCTCCTCTGATTTTGAGGTTTGTATTTCCCTGTCAGATGACATGTATTATGTATGAGAATATTTTAACATTCCAGTTTTCTGTGGTTCATTATTGATGTGTCTGCACTGGGGATGTGTTTTTGACTGCTGGAGAACGAGTATTAGCTTTACAATTCTATTTCAACCGTAAATGTTGAGACTCTTTGAAATATCATGCATGGCCTTATATGTGGCAATCAAATTGATAATTGGCATGATTGATATTTCAAAATCAAACAGCCATTTGAGGGGAGCTCTTCTGAATGCTCTCAAGAGATAAGCAATAAACATATGGTGCATTTGAAGGATGACAAAAAAAAAGAATTTCCTTTTCTCTTTTTTTACTCGAAAGAATTTACTAGAACTATTTCTGGTAAAAGAACACATGAAGATTTCCTTCTGTTTGCACAGGTGGTCCGTACAAGTCTCATGCCTGGCATGTTGAAGACCGTTGGACATAACAAAGACCATCCAAAGCCCATAAAGGTACATCTTTGGTTTTAAAATTGTTCATGGAGGAAAAGCTTGCTGAATATAGTTGTAGAATTTTACATGCAGTTGACACTGTTGATGGATTGGATGAACACATGGTTGATAAATTTTGATTTATTTTGAAATTTAGTAGGAGGAATTGTTATTGTTGGTTGATATTCTAGTTTCCAGGTCCTGGTAGCATATAAATACTACAGAAAGGAGCATAATACCTCCTTCCAAATAGTTAAAAGTGTGGCTGTTCTTTGTTCTTGATGTGGGGAGAGAATAATCATGTCTTATGCAAGAAGGATTAGTTTCGCAGGTGAAGCACTGAAGTTTAGGTGATTTATACTTCGTTGAATTATGGCACCTTCTGTGATGCAGGGTTGTTTTAACCATATTGCATTGCACATCTTATGTTGGAAGATGGTGCCTTCTCCTAATGAAATGTCCTTCGACTATTATTGTGCTGGAAACATTTAATGTATTCCCTGGTTTAGTTAGTATATGGGGGACATATTTCTTGGTCATTCTTAAGTTACTTGTTAGAGAAACCCTTATGTGATGGACTGGCCCAGTCTAATCGCTTTCCGCAACTGGTTTGGTAGGTGATGTGCTGCAGTTTAGGCAATTCAAACTTTGTCAAACTATGGCACCTTCTGTGAACAGGAGGTGTTTTAACTATTTTGCTTTCATCATCTTTTGTTGGAAGATGGTGCCTTGTCTCAATGGAACTCCTTTGAGTATTATTGTGCCGGAAACATTTATTGTATTCCCTAGTTTAGTTGATTGTGGGAGACATTTGTTACTGTCATTCTTCTAGTATTAGTTAGAGAAACCCCTATTTGATGGACTGCCCCAGTCTAATCCCTCCCCCCAAGGTGTTCACAAACACAAGAATGCAGAAATATTCCTGTCCTGTTCTTTTACTATTATTTTGGTGTTTTTCTACTCAAATTTGATTTTATTTATCTTATGGAGTAAATGCTCAATGCTTCTTTTATTTCTCACCCATTTGTTTGGAAACTTTGACATTTATTGCTTTATTTCTAGATTTTTGAAGTGGGCGATGTAGTACTTTTGGATGAGAAGAAAGATGTCGGTGCATCAAACCGTCGCCTACTTGCTGCACTATATTGTGGTGCTAACTCAGGTTTTGAGGTACAATTTGCTCACTGTATGCTCTTCATAATTACTTTTTTGGCTTTCCAGTGAGTGGTTATTATATTTGACTCCATATACTGCATTAGTTAAAACTTCAATTTTCAGTTCTTGTTCCAATTCTGAATTTCTCAAATATTGCCAAATGTTTCTGCGCGGTCTTTGGTTAAGAAGTCACCACCATATCCATCCAGAAAAAACAGGAAAAATGGAAAAAGAAAAGTGAGCAAGGAACTTTAAAAATGAAGCCTTTGCTGAACTTAGTCTGGGCATAGATATGGACATTGGTGGTGGAGCATGAAGCGTGGATGTAGACTTGCATGAAATGATGTTGGCAGGGCAAATTTAAGAAGTAGGTGAGGGTAAAAACTGGCTTCTAAGTTGTTTACTGCCTTTAAGTAGCACTTGGCTTATGGTGTTATTTAGAAAGAGAGGATTAAATTATTGGGCAACGGGTGGAATTCGTTAAGTGAACTATTGGTTAAAATCTGCACTGCAGGCAATGCCCAAAACAGTGAAATACAAATTCTGTTAATGCTGATCAATTAAAGTCTGAGAGTCCAATGTGGTGATCTTGCCTTTTATTCCATTCCCTTGCTTTTTGGTTGAAAGTAAATTGATTAAGAGGACGAGGATTGAAACTTTGTTAAGATTGGAATCCACTTCGTTCCAATCTCCTCCATCGGTGGAGTTTGAGGGGAAAAATGAAAAAAGTAATGAGAGTTTGGAGAGATACAAAGGGGATAAGTTATGCCTTAAAAATCCTCAAATTTTTTTTTTTCAGAAGAGGAATCCTCTTCATCCCGATGCCCTCTGTTTGGGGGAGTTTGAGGGGGAAAAAAAAGCAATGAGAGTTTGGAGAGATACAAATGGGATAGGTTATGCCCTCAAAATCCTCTATCCCACCCTTAAAAAGTTTCCAAATGAGAAAGGGAGTCCTCTACTCTCTTTTGTTCTCTACCTGCTTTACTTCTCTTCCCCTTTTACTTCTTTGGAAATCAAAACAGGATAAAGTTCCATGTAAGCGATAATCTACTGCATGGTTAGGCAGTGGGTTCTGGTCCAACTGGTGTAACTGAACAGGTCAATTATGCTAATGTCAGCATTACATAGTAGTTCATAGGCCAAATAAAATTTTTATTACATGCTATATTAGAACTCCTATATTTCTTCATGACTTATAGTGGTTACAGCTATCTGCCATGATTTAGCTATTCACTAACAATTAAAAATTTCCTAATGTTAGGGTATTCAGAGCACCACAATTGGCTTCCATATTTTTTTGGTTCTACTCTCCATCCCCTTCTAAGTTCCTATCTTGCAAACTTCAATCAGCTTCTCGCCTTCTTCCTTCCATGGCAATATCTAAGCTAGCAATGGTCACTAAGAATTCAACCAGCATTGAATCATCACCGCATGAGGCTAGAGATTACAGTTTCCTATTTTTCTTCCCCTTTTTCCTTCTCCTGTCTCTATGATGAAATAGATTATAAATCTGAGGCCTTTCTCTTTACGCACATTCATCCAATTTATTTAAGGTTTCATAGATTTGGTATGTCATGCTTCTAGACACTGAACAATCTTGTTTTCCTTTGAAATGGTCAGAGTAACTTTTCTGGTTCAGCCTGATTGGGTCATCCAACTTGGAGAAGTTGACAGTTGGGGTCAAACTGATTTGACCAGCCAGTTTGGTCCAGCTTTTAAAGCACTGGTTAATTGTGCGCAATGTTTGAAGTTGAATGTTATTGCATGACATAATACATTATGTGAGATTTCACTATATATTATTGTTTAATATCGAAAGCTGACAAATTGTATGGATAGTCAAGTCAAAAAAGGAAAAATTGATTATAATCTTGGGATGAGGAGTATCTTGTTCTGTGATCCAAATTATTATTATTTACTTGTGTGTTTGTTCCTCCTGCTTTGATAGAATCTAATAATATGACTTCTTGTCTACAGCTGATTCATAGCCTAGTGGACAGAATTATGGAAGTAATTGGGACTCCTTTTGTTGAAGCTGGAGATAATACAGGATACTATATAGAGCTTTCTGATGTGAGTCTCTAGTTCTCTGGTCTCTATTTTCTTTGTTGCATGAGAGAGACAGAGAGAGAGAGAATACAAGGAAAAAGACGTGTTCTTCAACTTGTTTCTTAAAGCACCTATTGTTTGCTCATGTTGTACTCACGACACTTATGTTTTTTGAAGGAACCTGAATTTCTATTGGGTAGGCAAGCCAAAATAATTTACAAAGGACGGTGCATTGGCATTTTTGGTATTGTGCACCCTGAGGTATTGTTCTCCATTCTGGGATAATGTGCATTCTCTTGATTTTTGTTTATTTGTTTTATCAACAAGCTTCATGCAGCAACCTTTCTGGATGCAATAGACATAAAATCCTCAGTTCTGTGTTTTGGAATCCATTGGCAAAAGGTTTTGAATATATGTATTGTCTGTTACTGTTGCAGCTTAAGAGGTGTTTTTCTCTCATTTTTATTTTTTTTGTTGGATACAAGAATTTTTTTTTTAAATTATCTTAATCAATACAATTTTTTGACAGTGAAGAGGATCCCATTGGAGATTTTTTTTCCTGTTAGATTTTGGTTAAAAATGACCTACATTTCAGCTAGTCATTTTCTTAAGTTTTCCTTTGTTTTATGTTGATTGTTCAAAAGTGTTGAATTTTTAATATAATGTCAAACACAAGAACTTATAGGATCGAATTTTGTGGTGTTTTATTCATAGGTTGCATTACTCTTATCAGTTATCTAACATTCACTCAACTTTAGTTCCTGAACCTCTAATTGTACCCTCTGTTTCTAATTTAGTGTTTGCTTTTTAAATTACTCATTTTTTTTTTGAGCAATTGCACAAAGATTTAGGTATGAGTATTTTGTCTCTTTACAACTTTTACTCTTTTAAGTTTCATAAAGCTAGTGAGATCCCCCTAAGTTAGTATTTCAATGAAAGCAACATTAGCAAAATGTTTTTTATTTTTTTGGATAGTGAATATTATTTTGAAACACCCTAAAATAGTAAGATGGACATTCGATTTGAAATAAAGGTAGCAATAACCTGATAACTTTTTTGGGTATTGGAAAGATTGTTGAAAGCTCACTTGTAATTTTGTAGCAAATTTTGTGTTGAAATCCTGCATTTCCATTCACCATGCCTTTGTTGTAGATTTCTCATGTTTGGAACTCCATGTGGTAAACTAAAGAAATTTTGGCCAAAAAAAACTAGAGATTAAATTTAGGAAAAGAGTTTATCAAGGGTGTTGGGCGCTGGCTTTTAAGTACAGAATGTCTACCCTCTTCTTTTTGTTGAGTCCATTTAAATATCTATAATTTTGGTGGTAATTGGAGCAACCTTGCTGAAATAGTGAGCATACATAAATCAGCGAATTAAAATTACTGATTTGAAATCTGACATTTTCCTTTTTAAAGTTTCCAAACATATCAAACCATGGAATTGAAATGAATTAATTTAAAGTTTTGAAAATTCATTTGTTTAGGCTAAACAACTAACCTCAAACTTCAAGAATAAGGCCAGCTGGCTTAGCTGGTATATTTTTGCTGCTTGTGCCGAGACTTGGGATTAAATGTTTGCATTCCTCAAGGTTTGGGGGCTTAAGGGAAGGGGAGGACAACAATCTTGTTTTGTAGCCCATCCTAGGACTAAAATTCCAAGTTTATGTAGATAAACAGAAGTCAAGCTAATGAGACTGATACTTCTCTTTTGTGCATTTGTTCTAAATGTTTTGCCAAGTTATCAGTGTATACTCAGCTCCCATGTAATTTATGAGGGACTTTGTAGAAACCTTTTCTTTTTCTCATTTTCATTCTTTTGAAAATCTCTAATTTGAAATTCTTACTTTAGCAGGTTGCTCTCCCTGGTTTCTTTATATTTTTCTCACATATTATGGTTCAGATTCCGTTACTGCATCAGGATCAAAATTACATGACTTGAAAATCTGAGGGTTGTGGTGAGTAATACTTAATATATCTAATCATATTTTTGATATGGTCTTCAGGTGTTGAACAATTTTGATATTCCGGATCCATGCTCCTTCGTGGAACTTGACATGGAGAGCTTTTTGTAGGATTTTTTCCATGACAGCAGATGTAAGTTTGTTCCACCCTTTTGTGTGTGTGTGTGTGTTTCAGTCATTCTACCATATTCAAAGCTCAAATGTTTTCCTCTACTTAGGTTTTTGCAGTTTTTATGATGAAATATTCTGATTTATTTTCTCATTACAGGCTTTATTTTCTATATAGGAATTCTTTGTTTATTTATTTATTTTTCTTTGCAGTTTTAATAATTTATGTTGTGTTCACATAGGTTAGAGCTATCTTGCATATTGAACAAACAGGAACATCAGTAGTGGCACTTTACCTCGATACTGGTTTACTTTGGAGTTACAATGTTTGCTTCAGATTTGAGAAGTGCTGATGGAAAGGAATTTGTTGATCCATTTGCGGGCATGGCAGTCAGACCTGATCTGGCTAAGTTTAGAGTGCAGTCTATTAAGAATTTCAATGTTAGTTGGCTCTGAGGCCTAGGTTGCTCTAATGTTGACTGCGTTATGACTGTTACTTCAAGGCAGATGCAATTTTTGCGATGCAGATTTTTTGTTTTCTTTTTAAACATATCGTGTAGACAGACATTCATCATTAGTCAGTCGAAATCAAGCATTAGATCTGATTTTTATCATGATCGAATTTGATTATAATTTATCAAAGCTGTCGGATTTAAACTGTTTTTTTTTCTTTTTTAATATGGAGAATGTGATTTGAACCTTTCTTTTTAAGTAAGAAGACTATGAACGAACTAATGAGTAAAATGTTGGGGTGTTATTTCTGATTTAGACTGTTTAGCATGCACTGCTTTCAAATTTCCAAAGAGGGTTCTGAAGAAATAAATGCAGCAATGGGTAAGTTTTGGTGTGAAGGCTGGGTTCGAGATTACATCTGCAATGGATGTTGGAGGCTGGGAATTCAAAGATTTGGTTCTTCCCAATTGTGTGGAAAAGCTTTGAAAGGTGTTCATTTTTATTTGTTCAATGCAGTCAATTCTATTTGTTGGAAGTTGAAATGGGAGGCTCGTGTATTGAACCAAACCAAAACCTGTCAAAATCTTTCACGTCCAGCTCTAGGGACCTTATAAAACGATGACCAAGATAAGAGGGGGATGTGATCATTTGACAGAAAAACCAAAGAGAAAACAGGAGAGATGGCAAGGAGCAAGGATGACATCAAGTACGCAACAGCACAGGCAAAGGTATCATTTCCAGGGCCACCCATCTGCCTGATTCTGCTGCTCAGTCTCAATCTAACACTGGAGCAGCTACCCCTGCTCATTCTCCCTCCGCCGAATCTACCCCTTCCTCTGCACGACGATATTCAGTTCCAGAGCTTCTTTGTACTTTCGTTTTCCTTGGTTTTAAATTCATCGTAATTAATCAAGCATTAAACATAAGGGTTTATTTGATTTTAAGATAAAAAGTAAAATAATTTAATTGAATGTAATAAAAAATTAAAAATTTATTTAAATTTTTTACAATAATTCGGGAATTATTTCAAGCATTATGTCTTTTTACTATTAAGAATAGATGGTATTTTTTTTTAAAAAAAAAAACAGACTAGAGACAAATAGGTGTTTTAATTCTGAGATTAGAAAAAGAAGACATATGTTGGTAATTGTATTCCTCGGTAGTAAAGTAATAGATCCTTTCTAGAGCAATATACAGCAAATTATATTCCACGAGTTGATTAGGCTGTTAGAAGGGTTTTGAGCAGTGAGGTCATCCATGGCTATGTGAAAAGTGAAGACAGACAATGCAGGTGGAACCCAAGTTATGACCCCTTGGGCCTTTTGGTTTAATTTCTATAATTAAGTCCCAAGTACACAAATTTAGAAAACTTTGGAAACTTCAAATGGAGGAAGGAATCAACACTTTTTTATGTCAAAATAAATAAAAGGAAACAGACTTCACATGAGTGAAGTTGAACAATGCATAGTGATTGATAATAATTGATCATTTTTCTCAAAAAGTTTTTAGATATTCTTTTATTTTTTGTTACGTTTAATTAAATTTATTATGAAATATTAACATGTCATATCAACATCACGTAACATAGAATGACAAGAGATATTTTGACTAATAATAGTTAATGAATCGTTAGTTATAAAGATTTATTTAACTCAAAATAAAAGTACAAAAATTTAATTTAATTCAGTTTTTAAAAAAAAAATTTATTTAAATTATTCAAGTTTTATTTTTAAAAAAAAAAGTAAAATGAAAAGTATTAGTCATATATGTAATCTAGTCAAACACATGTCTTTTAACTCATAATTTTGATATTGCAGTTGCAGTTGGTTAGATTGCCGACCAAATTATCTTTCTTGAGCACATTTCTTTCTTATCTCTTGCCACGATATCCAATCAGATACATTTCCTTGGCGGAAACAGTGGAATTTGGTCAATGGCAGCACATCCCAGCAATAGTCTTTCTTTCTTGCATTGCCAGTTATGTATGACATAAAGAAGAAGCAAATTCCCTCTCTTCTAATAGTAACAGTAATGAAGCTTGAGAAGGAAAGAGAGAGAAGCAAATCCATTAGCTATGGGGCATGGGGTAGGAACAACCACCTCAGCTAACTTCATTTCTTTTCCCTAACAAGCAAAACAAAAAGGGTAATTCTCACAAGCACTTCAGAGATTCTTCTAATTTATTCTCACAAGTAATTCTTCAGTCTCTCAATAATCAAATACTAGGAAATTCAAATATTAATCCATTTTATCTAATTTATAAATTAAAATTTTAATTTCATTGAATGGATTTCAATAAAAAAAAATTATATATTTTAATAATTTATTGATTAATTTTACAAAATCTCAACTGTATATAATTGAAATAATCATGTTTATATATAATTGTCTTTCAATTATAATTTTCTTTTATAGGCAATTAACTTTGTACTTTATAAATGTTTATATTTTATATATAATTATCATTTAAAGACAAATTAAAAAACAAAGTATTCTTGTATGATGTACATGATAATAAATGATAGACAAACAACAACAAAAAAATCAAATACGATTAAAACACACCAACATTGAATACCAAGTCTAAGACTACTTTGAATTCACATGATATAATATTTTAAAAAAAACCTCTAAATTAATTAAGAATCAAATAAATTCTTATTTTTTATTATATTTAATCAAGTATTTATTTTTATATTTTGAGTTAAATAAATCCTTATTATTAATAGTTGATTTAATTAGTTAAAATATCACTTATAATTTTAAACATGATGCAACATGTCAACATGTTATAATGAATGATAACATGATAACTTAACATAATTAAACGGTATTTAATTATGAATAAACAACTTGATCAAACCGTAACAAAATAATGATAATTTATTTAAAATTTTTATAAATAATTCAAAGATAGGATGGCAATTCAAATCTTTTCCTTTGTATTCTTCCTTTTATGAAATGTTGATATCAGCCTCGGTGGAATCTCTGGAGAGTTAATGGGGAGCTCTATGGGGTTTGGACCCTTAAATGCTGATGGGCGTCGAGCCTAGACTATAAGAAACCTACAAGAGAGGAGAGGAGAGGAGAGGAGAAGAGAAGAGAAAAGAAAGAGGGAAGGCAACCGACAGTGGGAAATGGTAGAATAAAAACAATAGGCATAGCTTTCCAACCAAGGGTATCTCCTAACAGCTAATATCTCCCCATGGCCTTTAAACAATTGGTCTAACCACATTCTCCATTCTTTTATATCTCAACGGCAATTTGCACTTAAATTAAAGCTTTGAATATGATTACTTTAGAGTTGCCATCTGTGTTCTGAGTATCAAATCTTTCATTTTCTCTCATCGGTGCCTTGGAAATTATTATACACAGTTAGGTCATAGCTGGTCCTACGTTGAGATTGGAACTACCACAATATCCTCATGAAAATATTAGCCAATACTCCATCGCTTTAAATATGCTTTCATTGCCACATGCTCCTTTAAACAACTAATATCCATCAAGGGAATTTTTACACCATAACTAGAGGCTGGCACATGCATGTATCTCGTAAAAAATATATACCTTGTTTGTTAATTTAGTATGAACAATCAAAATAAAATAGAAACAGCAGCTACCAATTTATATGTAGTTTCAATATATACATGAATGCAAGAAAACATTTAAGTTTATTAGATGATTTCATACATTGGTTTAAGAATTGAAAATAGCATTAAATAAATTACTAAGAGAAAAATATAATAAATAATATTGTTGTGAAGGTGTTTTGTGAACTTTCTAATTTGTAAATAGCAGTTAAGTTAGAGTCTCTTTTTTTTTTTTTGAAGCAGATTAAAGATTGGAAGAGGCTGTAATATTTTTTTTTTGTTAGCATATTATTTGCATCAACCATAATTTTTTAACTAGGTTGACATTTTGATTAAGTTATATGATCAAACAGGTTGTGAAAAGATAATTGTTCTTGTTAATACAAAAATGAAGAGATCGACCTATAGTTAAAAGACCAAATGCAAGAACATGAAGCACCAATAATTGTCAATTGTACATGTTGCATCATAAGTAACTCTAAAATATGTTTCATTTAGATTTTTAACTATAGATTAGTCTCTTCTTATGTTAACAAGAAGAATGATGTTCTTTTTAGAACTAAATAATTATAAATGAAAGAACCAAACATTGATCCATTAATGAAAATGAAGGATTATGTACAAATAACATAAATGATCTCCAACATTAAAACAAATATGACATAAGTTCTTTAATACATTTAAGAGAAAATATTTCGACAATACATTTCAAACTTCTTTCATATTTATAAATATTTAACTGTTTTTTCAAGAATACATAAATAAAAATAAAGGTTACTGAAAAAAAAGTACAAAAATAATAAAAGTAGTGAACTCATTAAAAAAAAAGAATACTTCATGATTGTGAGAATACTGATGTTGATTATAAAAGCATTCAATATCTATTTGAAATATAAAAAAAAAACAAAAGAAATAGAGAAAGAGAGTAATAATAAGCATCAATATTATCGGTAAAACAATCAAATCACAATAATAAAATATTTATCACAAAAATAAGAAACACTTAAAATTACAGCAATCACGATAACATTAACTTCCACACTAAATGCAATAGGAGGCAGAATAATAAGAGTTTGATTTATTCTCTGTTCAGACATAACAGAATTAACAATAGAAATAAATAAATGCTATTTACATAACGAGTCTCACCAATCAAGATTTTTGATAAGAGATAAGGGGAAATTTTTTTCATACTCCTTTTTTAAACCCAATTACAAAGCCACCATACATACACAACAACAATATGTCACCATGTAAAACTTAAGTAAGTGAAGATAAATGCATTTGGTTTCTCACGTTAATGTCTATGTCAGTCATGTAAATACTCATTAGATTTGAGATACCAAGTTGTCTTCTATGTGAAATGCTGTATATTTGATTATATCCCTATGAGTCCTACCAAGGATGTCAAAATAAGATATAGTTAGTTGTAGTATGAAGCATATGAAGATAACTAAGTGTTCAAAATAAGAATCATCATCTCAAGTGATTAAAGGGACATTTCTTAATAGTTCTTAGTTGATATTAACTTATTGAATTCCTTGGCCAAGATAATTTAGAGATCATAAAAAGAGTTTCATAAGTCTCTATGGAA